TGGTGCAGGAGAAGGAGCAGGAGGTGGGATTGGTGGTGGTGCGGGTGTTGGTGGTGGTGGTGGAGGTGGACATGGTGGTGGTGGCGGAGGAGGTGTTGGCATTGGAGGAGCAGGAGGAAGCGGATATGGTAGTGGAGGCGGAACTGGAGGGGGTGCTGGAGGATCATATGGTGGATACAGTGGAGGAGGTGGAGGTGGTTCAGGAGAAGGAGGTGGAGGTGGTGGTGGTGGTGCGGGAGGTGAGCACGGGGCTGGATATGGAGGTGGCAGTGGGAGTGGTGAAGGTGGTGGTCATGGTGGCTACATCCCTTGAGAAACTCGTTCAACGTCCACATTAATTAAAATGGGCAATTGATTACATTTCCTTATATATATATATGACTTATAATAATGATAATAAGAGAAAATCCATAAGATTTTTGGCAAACTGCCTGCATCCATCAATTTGTAATCTTAATTAATTGTGTTGTTTAATAGAGAATTTTATTACGTGTCTTCATCATGCATGCATTAATTCCCCTTTCTCTCATTATTATTTTCATTTTCTTAATTCAATATCAATTATATATATATCATGATATTATCAATTATCAAATATAAAATAAAATCGAATCCCATGATGACAAAAATCAAACAATCAGAGAAAATATTTAAACCACATATCCCACATATCCCATGATGATAAAAATCAAACATATCAACTCACGATTTTTACAAATTAGAGTGGTTTTCATTTGATCGTTCATCTGTATATATAGACTTGGGATCATATGAGACCAAGTATTTTTCGTGAGACTCGTAAGACCAATTCTCAACCCTTGGATTATATCTACAATCTGAACATTCATAATCACAAAATTGTCACGAGACTTCTCAATAATCACAAAATTGTCACCATGCAACTTTAAAAAATTGGTTTTATGGGTCTCACAAAAAACATTTGGTCTCACGTGAAAATATAGTTTAGGTAACAAATGTACAGAAATGTAGTAGTTTGTGTTTCTTGTTTATTGGGCTAAATCACGTGATGCCTCGACATTGAATAAGTGAAAAGAGATGATATGAAACATAATTTTATGTTCAAATAATCGATTACATTTAGTCATTTTTTGAATTACATTTCATTTTTCTATCACAAAAAAAAACTTCATTAAAGACCAAAATTTTAATGATTACTTATATTTTGGTCACTAACTGTAACGTTAGTGACGATGAAAAAAGTCGTCACTAATTTATGTTCACTAATATGAACTTGAGTAACAAAAAAAATTTGGTCATTATGTGGTCACCAATTCTCATGTAAAAAAAATCATATGAATCTATTTTAACGATTAAATTTATGACGACCATATTTTCCGTCATTGATGTTTTAAATTCATGCGTTTTTATAGACCAAAATAATGGTTACTGAGTTGAACGGTTTGGTGACCAAAAGATGATGATCATTAAGTTGAAGTTTTTAGTGACAAAAAACAAAGTAGTTACAAATTTGAAATGATAATTAGTAACCAAAAACAAAGTAGTCATAAATTTAAATGATTAGTGACCAAAATAGTGGTCACTAATTAGTTGGTTTGGTCACTAATTAGTTGGTGTTATTTAGGAATGTCAGTGACAAAAAATAGTGGCCACTAAATTGAATGATTAGTGACCAAAAATAGTGGTCACTAAATAGTTGGTTTTATTTACAAATGTTAATAACAAAAAAATAGTGGTCATTAAGTTGGAAGCTTTAATGACAAAAAAATAAGTTGTCACGAATTTGAAATGGTTGGTGAACAAAATAATGGTGAGTAACTAGTTGGTGCTATTTAGAAATGATGGTCAGTAAGTTGAAAGTTTTAGTAACAAAAAAGTAGTAGTCACTAATTTAAAATGATTAGAGACCAAAAATAAGAGTCAGTAACTAAACATGACATTTCCTTAAATACATCGTATTAAGCATAATTACTAATCTAAACATGCTTTGTCTTTTAAAGCCTATTTTTTAATGAATTTGAATAGTCCGTGTTTGATCACATTCGTGTATAGAGATACACTAAACATAAGTTGTGATCGATGGAGTTACGTTAAAAAAAATATTAAAATTGTAAACGAATCAAACATATAACAAATCGTCTTGTAGTAAGTTTGTTTATTTAATAGATAGTCATATGTTGATGATGATATATATAATAGTGACGTGTTTGTTTTTGTTCGGATCAAAGAATTTTTCCTTGTGAAAATGGAATTAATATTTTTGATTTTCATTACTACAAATTAGTAGGTTTAAATTTTATTGCAATACAATTGAGGTGGAAATTAGCATAGTTTTTGTCCATATCCTTTTAGTTAGTGACTATTTATTTGGTCACTAGAAGCCATTAATGGTCAGTGACCACATATTTGGTCTCTAATGGACGTTAACACCAACTAACGGATTTGTTATCTTGAACCTAACTAGTTACTTACTTTGTGGTGGTGACTAATATGAGAAATTAGTGACGACTTTTAGTGATCAGATTAGTCTTTACAAATACAGTGACCATTCTAGTTTTGTCACTAATTTATGACCATTTTTTATTCGGTCACTAACATAAATTAGTGACGACCTAAATTTTGGTCACTATAGGACTTCAGTGACCAATTTTTATATTGGTAGTGAATAATGAAGATTTTTCTTGTGTAGATTAAATCTTGACTTAGATAACATTTATTTAGGTTGTGCATTTCTTAATCTTTTAGTTTTATGGGTTGCATGCATGCATGCATGATGAAGCTTGTCATCCAAGAAACAAATTAATATAAAGTAATTAAGCAAGATGACGGCTTAATTATTGATTAACAAAACAACACACATCAATACTTAAATCATAACTAAACACACGTACGTAGATTAACATCTACTTTTGACAAATGGTAGCTTTTATGAATTTGATCTATTAATTGTCAAATCTTCATTATTAATAGAAATGAAATTTAGACGTTGACTCCAATAGTTGATTTTTCTTAAGGGACATACCCACCATCGCCACTACCTTCACCACCACCTTCACCACCACCACCGCCTCATCTACCATATCCAGCATATCCTCTTCCTCCTTTGCCACCACCACCACCATATCCCACCTTCTCCTCCACCATAACGGCTACCATGTGCTCCTCCTCCCCCACCATCGGTCCATTTCCACCTCCAGCGACTCCACCACAATATCCTGTGCCATTATGTCCACCTCCAGCCGCTCCACTACCGCCTTTGCCAGCCCCACCTCCATATCCCACCCGATGTCCTCCTTGCATGTGCACCATAGCCACCACCACTACCTCCTGCTAAACCACCATGGGTGTAAAGAATGCTGACGTCAAAGTCAAGAGAGCTCTCGTCATAGCAGAAATGCCCAAACCAAGACAAGCACACGTGAAACTTTGTGAATAGCCATGATGATTGAAAGTGATTAGGAGAGAAGACCAATTAACAACTTTATTGTGGTAGTATTACTGGTAATGAAAAAGTAGACATTTACTGTTAAAATCAGACACTTATTTTAAGATAAATATCCACGAACGTTATTACATATTTTAATTAATAAAAAAATATTTTTACCCATCTTATAATTAAACATAAAATAAAAAAATAGATATTTACTCTTAAAATCAAACACTTATTTTAAGATAAATTAAAATAATAATAAATAAATTGATAAAAAAGTTGGTGTGTTAAATTTGGAAATGGGAGGAATATAAATTTGATTAATTTGGCCACCAACTACTCGGTAGGTACGTTCACTTGTTTAATTACTAAATGATTCACATCCAAAATTTCTGATTGCATAATTCACCATTTCTTAATAATTTATCTAAGATAAACAAAATCAAAAAAAAAATATTTTTTTTAACATTAATCTATATCTATATTATCTTATAAACTAGATTTTTAAAAGTCTTAAAAATAAATTTTAATGCACAAAATACTATACATTTATACACAAAGTCTTAAAAACAACTCATAATGCATTAAAGACTACTACTTTATACATTCAGTCTTAAAATCTCTTAATCTACAATTAAAATAACATTATTATCTTTTTTATGTTTTTAAAATACTTTTGACATCTTTCACTCATGTCTTCACTCTCTCATGCCTCTATGTCATCTCCTTATCTCCTAAGGTGATATATAAATTAAAAGTCACCATGAGTTATTAAAAGTTCTCTCATTCATCTCTCATTCAATTGTTTTAGAACTTTTAATCTTTTAATTTTTTGCTCTTGGTGTAAATCTAATACATTTGTGGAATCGTTTAAATATGTTGAATTTTAAATATATAGGATTTTAAATTGTTATACGATTTTTTTCATCGATAAACTGTAATTGGAATCATAACTCTTATTTATTCAAATTGTATTAATATGTAAAGATCAAGTGAAACTTCAAAATCGTTAAAATTCACAACGTCCGCCACATTGCACGAATACACAACTAGTTATAGAGTAAATTACATGCGAATTACGATGGTGGTCATTTTCGTTATGCTAGAGGTTGTCGAAACTAACTTATCATTAAAACCCTCTGATAATTCATGAGCTTTTTTTATCCTTTTTATATTTTTATATTAAAAAATAAATTAACATTATTTTTATATATATGTATATAACATATAAAACCTCAAAAGCCAAAACCCATCCTCATTAAATGAAACCATCGACCTTCTTTTCCGGTGAACTCCGGCCCCCCACCCCTCTCCCTCTACCTTTCCGGCTTCCCTTTCTTTGATGTCTTACTTCATCGTAGCCACCCGTTTTCTACAAATCTGCACTCAAGCAGTGGCACCGTACCAAACACCAAAAGAAAATGGTGGCAACCAAGTGTCGGTACATTTCTAGCGATTTGGGTCTTTGCAACATCAAATTGCAACATCATTCATCATTAATAATAAAACCCCATCTACACCCCCTGTGTGTTATGTGTGGAGTCGAAGCACATTCACAAAGACAATCTAACATCAACTTCTCTAGAAACACTTGAATCCAAACAAGGAGCTTAAACTCCACCTCATCTATCAAAGAAACAAAAAAAAAGAGTTTAAAATATTACAACTCTATCCACAACTTACCGAAAACTTGAAGTGGCCAAGTTACGCGAGATCGACTTGTCATCATGCCTAAAACCCTCACTCGATCGGCTGTACTTCTTTCTTGGAGGTGAAGCTATTTTCTTGCTTCTCTTGTTCACTGAGTTTTCACTCTTCGGTCCCATCTCAAGTGCAGCCATTAACAAGTTTCCTCTTGCACTAGGCATCCTCTTGCATTGTCTCAAAGCCTCATGCTTCACGGAATCCTCAACATCCTTGCTTCGTTGCCTCTTGTACGATGGTTTCTCCACAAGTTTCAATTGATCAGCCTTTGGAGCAAAAACCACTTCTGGACAACATTTCGTTGTGTTAGTTTGTCAATTTCATCAAATTTTGAAAAACACAATTTCTGGCAATTATATTTAATATTTATACAAGGAACATAGAAGATTACCTGAATTCTCATCATCAGAAGAATCCAGTCCAGGAGATCTTGGTGGTGTTGACGGAGAAACTACTTGGCTGATATCAAATGTAGTGGTTTTTCCGTCACTTGGTCTTACAAATGGTGTAGAGAAAGCTCTGTTGGGATCATCTTCAGAATCAGCAGCCCCCTGAAGCCTATTATGCCTACTGGGAGTAACACCTGTATTCTTCTCAACTTCTGGCATGTGGTTAGACCCATACTCTTTAAGGGTCAATGGAGATTTTTCTTTTAAAACATGAGGGTTTGAAGCATTCAAGTCCGAAAAATTGCTTGACTTGGATGGCACCATAGTGCCAGATTGGAAAGAACGATCTTTCACTCCAGGAGCCGCAACTTTGTTACTACATGATTCATTAATTTCATGGGAATGAACTGCATCAGCAGACGTAGAGGTGTGATCGACATTCTCTAGTACTGATTTGGGTGAAGTATTTGATAAGTTTGGATCCAAGGAAGGCTTATATGTTTCCATGAAGTTTGAAAACCAAGTTGTGCCTTGTCTTGCATAGAAGAGAATATATGCTTCTTCTGAAAGCACACAAGCCTCAGAAACACTGGTAACCTATCAAAATGAAAATTTTGAAGTCAGTTTTCCAGACTACAAATTTTAGAAGTAAAAGTTGATAATGTGATGACTTTTCAGACATATACAAGGAAGATTACTATCAACTACTAAGAAAGTTCCAAACCATTGCATAAGCAGTATTATACTGTTATGCAACAGATAAAGAACAAGAGAAAGTTTCATGATTGAACGCAAAGCAAAAGAATCTATAAGCTTGAAAAGATATCCCAGCACTTGATAAAAATATCACCAAGAAAAGAATTTAGAAAACCCAGAAAACAACACTCAAGAGGATGAAGCTTTTGCCACCTGGTCATTCACCCAGAGTAATTCATTAGCCCACACACAAGCAAAGTATTTGAACTCAGGACCTCTAGGCTATTCTAAGAGGCATGCCCACTAAAACATTACTCATCCACTTAACCATGACAAAGTATTAAGCTTCTATGAAAAAACAGAAGACGTATGGTGGCATAATCTTATCAAGCTTCTATGTAACCCTGAAGACATGGTTGCATAATCCTAGGACCAGCAGTCAGCATATCCATAGCCAATTGAAATGCATGCTCAAAAATTCCGACCAACCATAAGTTCAGTACTTCACAGCTAAAAGAATCATGTGTGAAAAATTTACTCACTAAAAACAACTTTTAAGTATACTTTTAGACAAAATGCACTAATTAACAACTGACTAATAACTTGTATACATTGCAACATAAGTTGATCCACTGCTTTTATGAAATTTTGAAACATAACATGAAAAAATAAATGAAAAGGCTTAATTTTTTATGCAAGTACCTCAACCAAAGGTTCAAACCTCATCAAAAGGTGAGGAGGGTGTGTGAATTCTTGTGCCGTATATAAATATTAGATGCTTCAAAAAGTTACCTCCCTCAAATACATGTCAGCTATGACCCATTAAGGAATAAAGAAAAAATCCAGATATCATTTGTTACCTTTGAGTCATCAAACTTGTACCATGTGTCAGGTGCAGACCGAATGTAACAGTAGTAGTGACCACAACTAGATGTAAAGGCTGCATGTACAACAACTGCATTTAACTCATACTTCAAATCCTCCTGCATATGAGAGAGAATGAGCGTTAAGGACCTGTACATATATTTGTAAGCAATCAAATTTGTTTTCAAACCACTCAAGTCCTCAAAATGTTTTTATTGTCATAGCTATTAGAATTCCAAATATAGTACCAACTCCAATGGAAAACCATTTTTAAGCCAATTTGTCAGCAATTCCTAGAACTATCCACAACAAATATAAAGTTATTATATGATTCAAGAGTTCTATTTTTATGATAACTAGCAAGATATGGCAGTAAGTAAACTGTAAACATATAAGAAATCTTCCCACAAGATATTCAAGAAATATAACTCACATTATTACTCTGACGGCCACATGTATAAGGCTGCAAGTCCAACTCTAGAGGAAATTCCACATGCTTGTCTATTTTCTCCACATAAGAGCCATCGTTTTTGAATCTCTTTAAATGGAAAGCACATATAGGAGGGGTCTGATCCAGCATAAGTTGTTTCTCAACAGAGACCTTTTCCTTACACTGGTCACATGTAAACCTCATCTCTTCATCTTCAATGTGTTCAACTTTTGTAAATGATTCAAGAGCAGTTGAAAGACTAATTGCATCCTCAATCTCCAAACTGAGGTCAACTGAAGGCTCATAGGTATCAGAAATGTAATTGCAGTTGCAACATCTTAGCTGAAATTCATATAACAAAAAAAAAAGAATAAGTTCGAAGGATAATCAAGTATCAGCATCCTAAAATAGGTAAATTGTTGACAAAGGTTAAACACCCATCAAATTCTCACTTTGCTAACAACACAACCCCCAAAGACTTGCTTGACTAAATTGTCACTTTGCAAGGAGACAGCATCATCCTTCACTTTCAAATTGTTTAAAGAGCTTTCAAGTCTATCCAGAAAGCATTGCAAGAACTCATGAGCGTCTTCCTGTTGATATCTTTGAAATGATGATGAAAAATCTAACAGTTGTGTGGTCAAGATTTACAAATATATTGAATAACAAGTTGCAAAACAGAAATATTAAACCTGCAAAGTACCAACCAAACAAATGGAAAAATGCAGGATAGAAGACAAACATTAACAGAAAAATGTGAAAAAAATCAAGGATACAGCTCAAATTGTCGACAAATTTCCAGGGTGAGACAATTTTTCCAGTTGATGATAATGAATTTTCAATGTGCTCCCTCAAAGCACAGATCAAACAGAACCGTTCGTTGCTACCTGCAAATCCAAGCATTTAAAGTATAATATTAACAAATATACCATTTAAAATACAATTTTGATAAACAGGCAATATCATTTTCCAAGTAAGTCGTATCAAGTCCACAATTGTTCCTTGAAAAATAAAACAAATCAAAATAAGTATAACAGATAATGAAGATTTAACACATACAATCACAAGGTGTCGGATGGGTGTACGAATATAGCCCCTGAACAAGTAGCACAGAGTGAGTGAAACACTGCAAAACTGCATTGAAAAAGCAAGTGTTGCCCAGATTCGCAAGCCCTGCACCCTGTAAGTTCAGTAATTAAATTAGCCAATTTGAAGAAGTACAGTAGGACTTGATAGATGCTAATTCATACAAAATGCACATGACACACACAGAGAAAGAGAGAACTTGTAGCAGCTAAACCATAAAAATTCAAGCTATATATAAAAAATGAAATACAACCATTCTGTATCCACAGGAAAAAAGCATAAATACGATCAATACTATACCTCAATGGGTGAAACATCCAACTAAAAATGCCAATTGGTGGAAGTGGTGGATTGCTAGCCATACCAAAATAAAATGTTGCATTTAACTTCAACAAAATTAAAGTGATTGTCAAACACAATCACAACCACTTGTACAACTACTGCCATGGGCATCCTATTTTAAAAAACGTGCAATTTTTGTGGGAGGTAGACAACCAGACGCATGATCAATGACTTAGATATTGCCATGTGGAAGACAGTTTTCGGAATAAGACCAAATAATTTCTGTAACCGATAGCTATATATTGTTGAATAAAGTCGTTTACCACAAAAACTAGAGTGAAAATTTCTCAAATCATGGACACAGAAATACACAATAAGGGTATGATGTGCTTGACGGTGAAAATGCAAATTGATCCAAGTAATTTTCAGTCAAATATAATAGCAACAATCTAGCTCGAAGTTGATATTTAACCATTTAAATACACAGTAAAACTTGTGCAAAACCAAAAATAAAGCATACCACCATGCACGGCTTCTCGTAGGCTTCTTCGTACCAACTCGAAGAACTGGAGGCAACTGAAGGAAAGGGCTTGTATACCTCGGTTTGACTTCGATTATACGAAATCCAGGCATCAGTCTCATCAACAAGATTATTAGCGCTATCATCAAGAGCCAGAGGGCTCAAGGGCTCAGAGAGAGTATTAGGTTCAGCACCAGAAGGAGATAGCAACGGTTGGTCAGAATCTTCGAGAACTTCGTTTGACATCAAAAGGTCATCATCTTTTTGGTACTGCGATTCTAGTGAGTTGGAATTCTCCATATTTTCCTCCTGTTGTTGGGCTATTTCATCAAACAACATACGAGAGCGAGCGTGATCGTGGAGTTTAGAGCGACGAGAGCTCAAGTGTGGATCTAGGTCTAGGGTTTGAGTAGGGGAAAGAGAATCTTTAGGGCAGGAGAAGGATTTGAAAAAAGAAGGTGATTGGGACAAGGGATGATGAACAGAATCAGCCATGGGAAATTAGGGTTTATGAAGGGGGAAATTGAAATTGGGAAATTAGGGTTTGAATTTGGGGGGAGAGGGAAATTTTGGATGGGAATTAAAAAAAATTGGGGGAAGTTGAAAGTGGTTGGAAAGATTTTTTAACACGGTTTTGATTTTGGTTTTGGTTTTGAGATTTTTAAAATGGGAGGGAAAACACAGCCGCCTTTTTCATGGATTTCACCAATTCAGAAGTGGGACGAGGATTGGGGAAGAGAGAACCACGCCGATTTCAATTTGTGACGGATTATTATTTCGTACCCATTTATATAATTTTTTGTTTAATTATTTATTTTTTAATTGTAACGATAGCTAAATACAAATTGTCCATCTTTTTTTTACTATTATTTTAATTTAAGTTTATTCAGATAAAAAATTGATTATATGTAATTTTAACCGTCTCATATGAAATCTGCATCATCAAATATCAGATAATTATATATTTGATGTTTCCTAATTACGTCCTTATCAACTTAATACACCCATAAATAGATTAATTTGTGCTATGATTTTTTAAAAGTTGTAATGGTGGTTCTATATTTTATACATCCATTTATGTAAGTTTCTACCGTTTCATGGGAAAGTATTTTATTTTAAATTGAATTTGCTCTAATGAGAAAACCAATGATATACAAGGCCTAATGTAAGACTATAGTTTGATCGACATTTGCATTTCATGGTTTGATCGAACTTCGTTCAAACATGGAAGTAAAAATCCCCATGAAGATACGATTATAGCCACTGCACCCTTCTCTTTTATTACTGTTTTCTTTAACACTTGCTACTCTATTCAGGCACAAAAGGAAGAGTAATTTTGTAACAATTACCTGCTTTTTTACCACATGCCAGTAAATATAAAGGAATCATGTTAAAGAAAGGCAGGATAATATAACATACAAATTAGTTGATGTGAATGTCTCCTCTTATGTGTACAAGATAAAAGGTGTCAAATAAGCATGAGATGATGGAAGAAGATCTGGGTTGTAAGATCCCACTCAAACCATAAAGTTTGGTTAAAGATATCTCTACTCATATTTATCCAATGTCTCCCAATGGTATAAATGTAGCCGGACTTTTGATCAAACCAAAATACATACCAACAACATTTGCAACACGACTGGATCATCATCGTCAACTCTGTTCTAATTCCAATTACACCGATCATGGTCCCTAAAGCAGATATTATGTTTGCATATGCATCAGCACATCGTTATCTCCCTTTATGATTGACGGGGCCTGCTGCTCTCTGTCTCTTGTTAGCTGATACTTATACGCCAACATCAGCTTTTTTTATTGTGTGCTTTGAAGTAATACATAACTTAACACCCATGAAACGAATTACGGTTCACCAAGGCCCGCAACCACCAAGACTAAAAAGACTCTCGGATGGCACCCCTCCTATTTGAGGCCGAGTGGCCTTGCAGCTTGGTTCAGCCTCCTCAGCTTGGTGTCATCAAGGATGATCTAGGATCACCCCGGGTTGAATAGTTTCTACCAAAAGCAAACTGATAAAATGAACTCTTACCATTACCAACAAGAATGATATGGATATAGATGGTTCCCTTCGCCAGCAACACATAAATCAGAACCTGAAAAACTGAGATTGAATAAGCAAAGTATAAATCCAATATCCAAAAACTCAAACAGGCAAAGGCAGAAGAAAACTTCAAGAATTAGGGTCATCTAAAAATAAATTGGGAATAGCCTGTATTGCAAGTGGTGAGATATGTGAGTATATATGGCAAATGTGCAAGACTCGACCATTCCATTACAGATATTCAACCGGATTTCCCATAACTTCCTAAGTAATGAATGAAGCAGTTTCCATCCACAAATCTCCCATCTCAACACCAGTCTCCAAAATGCATCTTCTTTTCTCCTCTCCTTTCACCCTAAGGTCTTCCATCAAAACCATCTCATGGAAAAAGGATACAGCCAGGATAGATACCTCTAAAATTACATCTTATGATGCAAATTAAAGAACCAGACCTGCTGAAAACTGGAATTGTAACATCGCCCCAAAGTAAAAGTTTGCTCTATATAGTAAATGAAATATAAAGTGATCCAGGGTATAAGGGAAGTGGAATCCATATTCTACCATGTGCTAGTTTTAGTTTGATCTATAAGACTATGAACAGCTCTTGTAGTCACTCTCTTACATATTTGCATCCATTTAATGCCAAATTGTAATATAATATTGTTTACCCGGACTTTCGTGAATCTACCTCTTTTCAAGGAAGCGCCCTCCATTCCATATTAAATGTTACATATTTGTATTGACACATCTGGAACTTTTCTCCGCTATAGGGAAATTATCTACATACTTGAAATGAAGGTATAAGGGTTGCAGTTAATAACTGTGTGCTACTTGCCAACATGTACAACTGGTTCTTCAGGCTTCCAATCATACATGTTTTTGCTTGTTTACATATGATTAGAGCAGGTATAAATTTCACAGATGGAATAATATCTTCTTAAGAACTATTAAATGATCTTAGGGTAAAACTATGTTGCTATTCAATAATTAAAAGTTGTACAGAAGAACAAAATTTAACATTAGATAATTCCATCCTTGCTTCATCAGTTTCCTGAACCAGATAATTGGACAAACACTGAAAATACACACACTATGTTACAGGGTGATGGCTAGTATAAGGACTAGATTCTCACATGAAATGGGGAACATTCATGAGCAAAAGGATATATTGTTGAAATTGTACAAAAGACATACAATAGGGAAAACATAAACGAAGTTGATATGGAGGTACGAGACAAGAGCAAAAAACATTTTTTAGTTGAGGTTTAATGTTATGTTGAAACGTAAACATTCATATTAGATTCAGTATTTCCTATATTTTAATTTTTACCATGATGTAAAAATTTATCTTGAGAAGAGTTCTGCCATTATTGAAGTATTTGGGTTATGACACATGCAGACAACTTTAAGTCCAACATTGCCCCCAAAGTAAAAGTTTGGTCATTGTGGAAAACTCAAAATTCTCTATGTGCTAGTATTTAGTTTGATCAAAAACTATAAACAGTTATAGTAGTCAATCTGCTACGTCATTGCACCAGATCACCTTGCTAATGCATCCGCTTAACACAAATAGCAATAACATTGCTTACCCAGTTACCAATCTCCTGCCAAGCTACTTCTTTTAAGGAACCGCTGTCCATTGCATATCCAGCAAAGAAGGCGGATGACTTAGGGGTGATATTCACGCCTCCGGAACCTGTCTTGGCATTTTGAAAATACTCTACATGCTGGAAACAAGAGGCATAAGGTGTTGTAACCGATGACTGTGTATTACTTGCCACGGTGAAAACATGTGCAGCTGACTCTGGAACCTGTCTCCACATTTTAAAAATAATCTACATACTAAAAAAAGAGTAACAAAGTGTTGTAGCTGATGACTCTGCTACTTGCAGAGGTGGACACATGTCCATCTGGTTCTTCAAGCTTCCGATCATACAGGCTTTCACTTGTCTACACATGATCAGAGCAGTCTAAGGTAAAATTTTCAGAAATATGTTGACAGTTGAGATCACTTTATAGAGAAAAAATGATGATGATCTTAGATTACACATTGACTAGCATTTTCGCTCTTAAGTCAAAAAACACCCTGGTGAATTTTTGTGCTACTCGAACACCCTGGCTTCTTAACATACATAACATTTTGGAACAATCCAATATCAAAGATCATAGGTCAATTCATCATTTTGAACACTCGAATCCTAAGGCCATACATTAAAGTGCCTGAATCACTATGTGAAACCAGTAAGCTTATACAAGGTTAGAATCTCAAAAGGCATTAGGGCCTATTCTTTAAGCAATTTTACACCCTTTTTCCAATAATATGTGAAAACACTTTTTTATGTTCATAAGCTTTACCATTTTGAAGCAGTCTTACCCATAAAACGATAAACAAACTATAATCGAAGTCATTCGCTACAACAAATTCATATAATGTCTTGCAATTTTAAGTTAGATCTGATTTAATCATAATTCTTCTCTGAAAAAGCAAATTACTCAGTTTATGGAGACACGAATATCAAGACGAAAATTTAAAAAAACACCTAAAGATGCTGATAAGAATACCAAAACACGAAGAGTAACGGAACAGTCCAGACAGAGTAAGAACCGTAGGTTACCGACGGCCAAGTCGGATTCTTCGCGATACAATCAAAAGACGTCTAATACAATAAAATACACAAATAACGAAAAAAACAACCGGTTCGAAACAAGATTTAAAGGAACAAGCCACGGCCATAAGTAAACAACATAAAAATCACACTGAAACCACAAACAAATCAAACCTTCTCGGAAGCCATTACAGCATATTGAAAACAAACCTAGAAATACCCCTTAGAGGAGGATTATGCAATCGAGTTGTTCATCGGAAGCTCCTCAGAGAAAGAAAAAAACTCGATCAAATTCCACGGTTAACCGCTGGCAGTGAGGTAGGAGGCGAAAGCATCTCCGACACATCCTCCGTAATTTCTCCAATATTGGGCTTGGATTTAGGGCCAATATAATATCTTTTCAATATCGAGTTTGGGCCTAAAGTTCGAATCCAACTAAAGTTGGTGTTCCAGTTTTTATTTCATTAATTTATATTATATTCCAAAATATGATAAAAAAAATATATTTAATTTTAAAAAAGTACAGCTTGTGCGCATCTTAATTAATATTACTTTTATTTATAGTATTTTTACATTATGATAAATCAACAGTTAAAAGTGAAAGTCCCCAAATACATCGACTAAGATCCGTAAAAAAATATATATATACAAGTGGATCAAATCCTTTTTGGACCACTTATCTCACCGGTCCTAATCAATCATTGTTTGTTTCGATGCGTTAACTCTTTAGTCTAATGTCATGGACCACAATTTGTATTTGTAATCATTCTAAATTAGAGATGGCCAAATAGGCCCGGCCCGGCCCGTAACCGACAGAGGACCGGGACCGGGACCGGGACCGGGACCGGAGAGGGACCGGGACCGACCGAGACCGGTAGGGACCGGTTGAGGGACCGCCGGTTATGAGCCGGTTAGGGTTTTTGACGTTTTTTGGGACCGGGACCGGTTATGTAACCGGTTATAGGCCCGGCCCGGCCCGGCCCAGTCAACGAAAGTCAACGAAACGTATATATATAATAAACCGTATTTTTATTGTGTATTTTTAAACGTATTTACAACAAAACGTATTTATAAACGTATATATATATATTACAAAACGTCTTTATAAACGTATATATATATATAACAAAACGTATTTATAAACGTGTATATATATATATATAACAAAACGTATTTATAGTAAAATGTATTTATAATAAAACATATTCAAAATATCATATTACAAACATATTAATAACATATTAAAAATTTATTAATAACCAAAAATTTAAAAAAAATCTTTTTTTTTTTTTGAATAGGCCCGGTCGGGACCGGTTATGGGACCGGGACCGGTTGGGACAACCGGTTACTAATAACCTAGACCAGTTACAAGGAAAATCACCGGGACCGGGACCAGGATCGGGACCGGTTATGTCGGGACCGGTTACATCCGGTTTTTGTCGCGATTAGGCCTGGTAGGGACCGGTTAAGGCCCGGCCCGGGACCGAATTTTGGCCATCTCTAATTCTAATGATGAATTGTATTTACATGAAACATGTAATACTTTAAAGCTGGTATAACTACAAAAACACCGATTTTGAGAGAAGGGTAATCCTACCCTTATATTTATTGACTATTTGATAAAATAAACGCACGTGAAAATAATTGGGTTTTAATGGTTATCTAAATAATATCTATTATATTGTCAGACGTCAGTTTTCAATCTTGAATATATTCATAGTACTGTTCTTGCTTCTTTATAATATCTCTAACACATATCTCTATCGTAGAAACAAAACGTCTTGCTTTATAAAAAAATTATTTAATCTAACACCTTTATTTTTATTTTTTTTAAACATAGTTACTCATGATGACTTTTGAGCACAGCCGCACAACAAAATCATATTTATATGACGTCTATAATATTTAAGTGTCATAATATAATGCTTTGTAATTCATAAAACTTAAATTTATACAATCAAAAAACAAAGTATCATACGTAAAAGTGTTACAACAAATTTATAGGACTCTTTTGGTGAATGTAACAAGTTTTTTGGAACCCTTTAAAATAAAAGAGTCATATTACCTAGTTTATAAAACACTTTTGAGAAGTGTTCTATAGATAGGCACGACAACGGGGTGGGGATGGGGCGGGTTTTGTAATTCCCGGCCCCGGTTTTTAGTAACAGCCTCCGACCCTGACCCCTGGCAGGTACGGGGATTAACATCTCGTCTCCGGTCAAACCCCATGAAAAATATCCGTTGGTTTGAGTCTACGGGGATCCCCGGGCCCAACTCCGGTTTGAGTAACAGCCCCCTGCCCCGGGTTGAGCCTACTTGGGATCCCCAGTCCCAGGACCCGTTTTAGCGGAGAATACTCGTCCTCGTTCGGGTCGGGTGAGTCGGGTTCCTCACTAACTCGGGGCAAATCACTATCCCTATCTATAACCTCAAATAGTGTCCTATAAAATTCTAATACTTCACTATTTTAAAAATGTTCAAAAAACTTGTTACGACGCCTAAAAAAGTCCCATAAATTTACAGTAACACTTTTAGATGTGACACTTTATTTTTATCTCATAAACATAACTCTATAAGATATTTAAACACTTTAAACATTCAATTTTATTGTAGTGCCGAATTGTTTTCTATATAAATAAAATGCATAATAAACACTAAAATGACATTGTTATATATTAATTCTTAACCATGTTTGTGTACCTTCTTATGGTTTTATAAACAACTTGTCATATAATAAATTGGGATATATATATATATACACACACACACAAGCAAAGGATCGTTTGAAAAGGATATAGGATTTGATTCTTAAGGTGAGAAACGTAAGAATGGATCTCTATCTTAGATGTACATTGGGATGAGATGCACCGGGTCAATCCTCGTATCAAACGCGACTCATGGATGAGTTTGAGATTAAAGGGATAAAATGTTCAAATCTCTTCTTATGCTTCTCATTTTAATTCTCCTTCTCTCGTGATTCTTCCCTTAGGTTTAGGTTACGATGAGAATGAGATTTAAGATGAAAAGAATAAGAAATAATCTTCATCCGTGGATTAATCTTAATATAAGAGTTCAACTAGATCAATATTAACGAGAAGCATCTAATTATTTCCATTCTAAAGCATAAGTTATGGGATAGTTTGAGATTAAAATTGATCAAATGTCCAAATATCTTCTTACACTTCTCATCTTAATTCTTATTCCCACACTATTTTTCGTGTCTCTCTCTCTATATATATTCACATACAGATACATATTGTGCTATATATACATATGACTCACATGGCACATTGTATCAAGAATGGTACTTAAAGTTAAATTGAACGTATGCTACCTTTGTGGGGAAAGATGGTGAAATGCGATGCACCTTACTTTATCGGTCACATGAGTGTTACTTCGCATCTTGCAACAAAATTTATACAATTGTATCTCTCACTCTCTCACACACACACACACACACACACATATATATATATATATATATATATGCATGTTTATTAACATAATTTAATTTATTTTTATCATTACTTTAAAAAAATTAAAATTGAACACTATAGTGGGGACGGACCAAAAGATTTTTTCAAATGGTGGTATCATTTAACTATAAGAAACAAATAAAAAGAAAAAAAAAACTCCAAATTATAACACCATTTGACTATAAAAAACAAATGTCGAGAAAAAATTTCAAACTGTGGCACCATTTGATTAAAAATAATATTAACAGAATTCGAACTCGGGTATGTGGTCGAATAAAAATCTTGCAAAACAACTATACAAAAGAAAGTTAATATTTATTAAATATTAGAATTAATACGGTTGCACCTTTTATGAACCTAAACTTTTTTACCCTTCAACGAAGAAATAAAATTGACACCACTGTATGTCCGTCTCTAAACCATAGGAAGAAAAAAATGTGTACCTAATATATATATACATCACAATTTTAATGATTTATAAATAAATATGGTAAATTAAAATTAACTGTATTTTTGTTACAGGAATAAATGCGAATAGTAACATATTCATATTTATTAAATTACGACCCTTCCAAGTAATTTGTTATGTCATGTCAACCCAGAGGTCCACACGTACCATCAAGAGACCGCGTACATTGAATAGAAATCCGAACCTAACTGGCCCCACTCTTTTTACTGTCACTTCCACTATACATTTCAATTATAGTGTTTTCTTCTATATATATATATATATATATATATATATATATATATATATATATATATATATATATATATTTAAATAAATGAGTAAATTACAATAATTAAAAATAAATTTAGATTTTTAATTCCAAACTAACTCATGAGTTGTGTTTTAGAAGAGAATTAATTTGACGTGTCTTATTATTATTGATCTAATTTTTAATTATGATTGTTTCAAGGGTGGAGATTTTTTTTAGTTCTATCTCCATAACTTCCGTTCTCAATGGAACCAAACCCTCGTTTCTGATCAAGTGTTTTTTAACGTTTTTGTTGTCTTTTTGAAAATTCAATAGAACATGTTTTTATGGTTACCTTTTTAACATTTTTTGCGTTTCTTTAATGAGTTGGATTCCTTTACAGTGTTTTAATGAGTTTGGTCCTTACATAAATCAACAACCTGGATCGAGGTGGTTGTACTAAATACCCAACTCATCGTAAAAATATAGCCACATGATCTATTGAATTTTCAAAAAAGAACGACTATTAAAAACTTATAACCATGGTGACGAAACATGTAGTACTTTCAAAGATAAAATAACTCTATCTTAATAAAGTTAAAAATATATCTGAGTAAAAAAAATCCACTTTCAAATATTTTTTTTTTGTTTTATCAACAAATCATTACAAAATTAAATAAGTAATTATTAGTGATTTTAATAAATTATCACACGGAGGAGAAAGAGAGAGTTTGCTTTCGGGAAAAAAACAGTATGGATTTTGTTGTTTCTAAGCAAAAAAACGTGCGAAAACCCTCGTTGAACTTTTTTGACTTTCTTCTCAACATTGACTCTGACTTCCATTGATGACTAAACATACCTATTTCTATTTTAATAAATATATATTTTAAAAGTTTAGTATATTTTACTCATATATTTTAATATTAAAAAAACGATCAATAAAAGATATAACTTTTTACTAAGGAAGTCTTGAAATTCGAACGTTATCCCATGGTTATCTGGATGCTATTTATAATTATACAACTCCTTAATAATTAGGGCCATGATCTTATTGTTTTTGAAAAAAACAATAAGAGGTCGTTTGATTTGTAAAATTTGATGGAATTAGAATAACAAATTTCTCTTACTGCCCACCTCTTCCCCAACACGTTCATATTCCAATTTTATCATGAGATTCCGTTTCAATTCTTTACAACCAAACATGTAATCAAATTCCATCAAATTTTA